AAAAAACAGGTAAGATGGCAATCATTACCTCAAAAATCAATACACGTGTGTTCATTGAAATTCTGGATAAATTTCTCATTTCATCGATAGAACATTGGTTTCGTGATGATGAAGTCAATTTTTTTTTAGGCGCGATAATGTATCGTGTCACAGAGTAAATGGATTCAAAGCTTTTCTCCGTGAAAGGTATATAAAATCAATCACATTGCCAACGAAGCATCCAAATCTAAATACAATTAAACAATCTGAGTTGAATTTAAAAAGAAAATATCTACAATAACGCTCCATTCATCGGTAGATTAATAACAGTAAAACTTTTCACCTTGAGTTCCTCGACAAACCCCAGAAATGAAAATTTTATTGAATAAATTTACTCATTAATATTTCAATATAATTTCGTTTAATTTTGGTTAATATATCTGTTAAAATGAGATGTCAGTGACATTTTTGTGTAATTTAGACAATAATTTATCCATCGCCCCCTGTATAGTTGGGTAAAAGAAAACAGAAATGGATTTACGACTTCCCTAAAGGCATAGTGCGAAAGTCGTTTTAGTCATTTTTCGGTCTAACCCTCTTCGTCCTTCAGATAAATGATCTACCTAAGTGTATATGATTGTTGAATATCTTTGCCGATGATACAATGGTACATGGTTGCACCTCCAAGCACCCTCGATGACCAGAGCTTGGCAGTTGATCTATCATCCGTCCTACCTCTAGCAGTTCAAAGAGCAAAAAAAAAAAAAAACTGGCTGGCAACATTCAATGTCTCAAAGACCAAACTAGTGACCTTCCACCATTACCGATCGGACCTAGAACTTTCACCAGTGATAAACGGATATTCCCTCATGGGCATACGATTAATCGCTAAAGATGCTGGAAAAATGGTCGATTCCTTTTACTGCTTCAGCAAGTACCTGACTCCTCATGCTATACTTTACTTTTACAAGAGTCAGATCAGGTCGAACAAACGGAGTACTGATGCCATATATGGACTGCAGATGTCTAGTCTTCGCTCACCATTCTCGATGGAGTCCAAAATGGCTCCGCATCCTTGTAGCAGATGTCTAGTCTTCGCCTACCATTCTCGATAGTGTCCAGAAGGTCTCCGCATCCTTGTAGCAGATGCCTAGTCTTCGCTTACCCTTCTTGATGGAGTGTAAAAGGTCTCCGCATCCTTGTAGCAGATGCCTAGTCTTTGCTTACCATTCTCGATGGAGTCCACAAGGTCTCCGCATCCTTGTAGCAGATGCCTAGTCTTGGCTCGCCATTCTCGATGGAGTCTAAAAGGTCTCCGCATTCTTGTAACAGATGCCTAGTCTTTTCTTACCCTTCTTGATGGAGTCCAAAAGGTCTCCGCATCCTTGTAGCAGACGCCTAGTCTTCTCTTACCCTTCTTGATGGAGTCCAAAAGGTCTCCACATACTTGTTGGTGACGAATCATTTTCCCTCGCGGCTCTATCGCTATTTCCAAAACCTTTAGATGACCAGATCTTGGTGCCTGATCTGACCTAACGTATGCAGCTCAGTGGAGAAATACTGGCTCGTCACATTCAATGACACAAAGACCAAACTAGTGACTTTCCACCATTACTGACCGGAACCAGAACTTTCACCAGTGATAAACGGATGGTCCCTCATGGAGATTCCTCACCTTGAGCGCCTACTGAGGTTTATGCTCACCCAAGATCTCAAGTAGAACTCGGGCATACCATCAATCGCTGATGATGGTCGGTTCTCTTCACCGCTCCAGCAAGTACCTAACTCCTCCTGCTATGCTCTACCTTGACAAGACTCTACATTCCTTACTTCCACCAGTCCTAACTGTCACGGCAAAGTCCTGCCATGGCACACACAGTGGAGCCAAACCGCCTTTGTATCCCTTATGTGAGAAATTGGGATTTAATCTCAACTCAGACATCAAGTCGAAAAATGATGGAAAAAATGGTTCTTGTAGGCGACGATTTATTTTTCACTTTGTGTTCTTGAGGATAATAGGTCGAACAATGTAAATAATGTAAATAATTACAATACATCAAATATAGAGAGATGTTTACTGCATTATCCTGTGATGAAGTCAAGAGATGATGTTGAGTCAATTGTCTGGTCTGATGCTAACAATGTTGGGTCACTGTATCGTGACAGAAAATTTTTCTTCTCGTCAGAATATATCTAGCAATTTTATAAATCAATCATTCGCCCTTGCATTGAACATTTCTACTACATCTGGTTTGGTGGTCCGGATATATAACTACCGATGCTCAACAAATAACTGAAGACATATTGAAATGGCCAAAGACGCACTCCCAAAGGCAGAGTATTACGGGACGGGGAGGGGTTTCTTTGGTAACAAAGAAAAGAGTATTGAACTACTACGTGACCTCCAATCTTACAACACTTGGTGTTTCCAAATGGTCAACCATCTAGGTACTGACCAGGCCCAACGTTGCTTAACTTCGATGATTGTACAGGGACCAATGTTTCAACACTATATGGCTGTAAGCCCGAGTTTTGTGTATGTGTGTGTCAGTTTCTCTCTCTCTCTCTCTCTATATATATATATATATATATATATATATATATATATATAAAAGTGAACATTGAACTCAACACTTAGAGGCGACGGTCTGTTTCATGCTAGAAGCATTCGTCAGGCCTGACAATTGCGTCAAGCATGAAAAGACTGTCACCTCTAAGTGTTGACTTATTTCACTTTTATATTTACACACACTCTGATATTGAGCACTTTATCCCATAAATATAGCACACCTTAAGACTATATTTCTTCATATATATATATATATATATATATATATATATATATATATATATATATATATACATATAAGCAATCAGACGTCTAGCCACATCGAAGAGCTATGATACAACAAAACAGTCTGTCTGTGGATGACAATATATATATATATATATGTGTGTGTGTGTATATATATATATGTGTGTGTGTGTATATATATATATATATATATATATATATATATATATATTAACGTTTTCATCTTCCTAGTGTTTAAAAATAAATTGACTGAATGATAGTTTAGGTTTTTGTCCTTAACAACACAACTTAAATTATGTTAACATCTAAAGATGTCGTTACAATTTATTAAGGAACGGTGGCTACATAATTAACTGAAAAAAAAAACTATATTAAGCTGATGTGTTTCGTTATATGCCGGTCTTTATCAGGGCAAATGTAATGATTTTATTTTGCAACAAGTGCTGAACTGCTACGTGATCACTGTCCTCCTTTTACGGCAACGAATGTTTCAGCGGTCACCTTATGGATGAAGAAGAGACTCGAGGCAACGGAGGTACGGTTCTATAGAAGTTTGGACCGAGCGTGTGAGCAACGATGAGGTTTTAGATAGGATGCAAACAAGGAGGAAGCTTATACTTTGCACCAGAAAGAGGCAGCTGAAGTTTCTGGGACACGTAATGAGAAAGGACGGCTTAGAAAATGTGATACACCCAGGTCGAATGGAGGGAAAAGCATACCTGGCCGGCTTAAACAAGTGGATGACAGAACATAGCCTGGGGGAAGTAGCAAAGGAAAATAACTTATTGAGACCTACTAGGGATAGGAGGAAGTGGAGAGCCATGATCGTCTACGTCCTAAAGGGACACGGCTCGTAAAAGAAAGAATGGTATCGGTCCTAACCTGGCATCTCGGATCCAGTCATTTTCCTACCGCCATGATGTTTTTTTTCTATAAATATTTCAATGGCTATCATTCGAATGAACACTTTTCCTTAATAGCTCGGACGCATGAATTGAAGCTGTTGTAACCTAGAAAATGTTACCGAATGAGGAATAACCAAAACGGAGGTTGGAAATGAAATGGTAATCTTTATAACATCAACAAAATACAATAATCGCCAGCGGCGTGTAGTAGGCAAACCACTACTAGTGGTGGATTACTTATACAGCATATTACCTCCACTTACAATAGTGTCCAACGTATTTATGAGGATTGGGATATACCCATTAGTGTTCATAGCTACGGTATATAACAGAAGTGTACTACTAGATTGGCTGCTAGGTCACATTGTTTTTACTGTTGAAGGAACCGTAAGTTCTATTCGTATAGTTTCTTTTTTCGCACTTCTCGACTGTGGAATTCTTTCCGGTTTATTGCCTCCGATTCAAATGCCAGCCCAATCACCAATCACCAATCACCATCTTCTAGCGTTTGGAAACGTGTTTTGCTATAGACCATTCTCCTCACTAAAGTCTTCCACGCCGAGTAAAACCTTGCGTCTTAGTGATATTATCGCTCTGCTAGGGGTGAAATGATAAATGAAGAAAAAAAAAAAAAAAAGATTCTACAAATCTGGCGTCACTAGGAAATGAGTGTGCCGGAACCGGATGTAGACATGGAGTCTCTCTGTTCATTTTCTTCCGGTTTTGAAAAGGGACTACTATTCATTATTTACGTTTGTCACGCTATTTGTACAAAGAGCAGGCGGATGAGTAATCCCGTTCTTTTAGGTAGATAGAATGACATAAACTTGTATAAATGATTATACATACATATATATATATATATATATATATATATATATATATATATATATATATATATATGAAAATGGTGCGATGGATGAATTATCATCTAAGTTACGCAAAAAAGAAAATAACATTGACATCTCATTTTAACAGATTACTAAAATCACACAAAAATATCTTAAAATACTAAAGAGTACATTTATTTAAAAATCCGCCGTTTGCTTCAACGACAGTCCCCATACGAATTCACAATCTCCTGCAACTCCTTTTGAGGTCTCCTTGTTTAATTTGGTAAATGCTGACACAATCCTTGCCTTCAGTTCATTTTTAGTGTTGCAAGGAGTTTTGTTGGTCTCTCATTCAACTACGCCCCACACATAGTACTCAAGAGGTTGCAGTCTAAGGAGTTAGGTGGAGTAAGGGGTGATGTGATCGCAGAAATGTGATCTGAGAGCCATGACTGGGTTTTCCTGCTTGTGTTGCTAAACATAGGGTTTTCCAGCAGCCGCCCTCTTGACCCAGAAGAGCAATACCTCCACAAGACACTTGATATAGGCCTCCATGTTAATCTGAGATCACGTTGGAAAATGAATGTATTGTAAGCTCCCCGGTACCCAGCGGTTAGAACAGCTGGTATATGTAGAAAGCTGACATATTCTATTCTGCCACTTATGCAATCGCTTTCTCTGAGTCCTGGTTGGCCGCTGGTTCTAGTGTATATATTGTGATAGGTTCATCAATCACCATTATGTTTGCTTGAGTATACAGAGCTGTGTTGAATTACAGCTTGATCACCGCTGTCTGCCAACTGGACGCTAGTTTAGAACCTCCATGCAGATGAGTATCACATTCATTCTACAGTTACAAGAAGTTTTGTTGGTCTCTCGTTCAAATGCACTCCACAACTAATAATCAAGAGATTGCAGACGTGGGAGTTTGTTGGCCAGATTTGAGAGGTGAAGTGGTCACAGGAATTGTCTGACTGTCATGATTTGGTTCTCCTGCTTTTGTGGCATGGTGCAGAGTCGTGTTGCCAGGCATTGAGTCTTCCATTTTTTTAATACAGGCAGCGATAGAAATACCTCGAACCTAATGGTAAGACATTAGCTTGATTAGGACTCCATTGTCAATAAGGTCTTATTACCTGGAAGGTATTTCTGGAATGTATATGTGGAAGTTATTTCTACTGTGCCCTGTATATGCTTGGGTATTTTATAATGTAGTCAATTTCATTTAATTTCTTTGTCTTTTTGTTTACGTTTCTAGTCCTTTTATGATCATACACCGTTGTGCAAATTAATTGAAACAATCGCTTTAGTGGCCATTCTTTCACCATACAGTCATCGTTCAGTTTTAGACCCACTGGAGTAACAGGGTGTAATCGATTTCTATTTTTCCCTTAGATTAGGTCATTTGCAGTAGTGTTCAGTAATATGAATTTATTTTCGGGTGTGGGTATGATGAAATTTGTTTGGCCTTGAAAAATATTGCGTCATCTGTGATTGCATCAGTTTTTTATCACGCCCAGACACTATTGTCTCGACTGTCGATTAGTGGTCCTACGGCTATTGTCTGCGATGGACGTTGCTCCAGGCATGCATACAAAAATTGTAACGCTGCACGAACACACTGGCAAGCCTTACCAATGAGTAACTTAAAGTACTATCGACTGGCCCGGAAACTATCCTGATTTAAATCCAATCGAGAATCCATGGTCAATCTGCAACGAACGACTTCGCTGAATGGACATACGAAGTATTAACATGTGCACTGGGTCATGTTTCATTGGGAAAATATGAAAAAATGTAAATAATAACGCAATTATTCGTTTTGTTTCAATTAATTTGTACAAGGGTGTATGGCAAGCAACGGCTCGAGTTGTTCTTTTTGTGGCTGGCACAATCGAGATAATTTTTCAGGAGTCTTTCTGTCACGCAGGACGCCATAGAGATGTTTGACATTATTAGCAAGGCTGCTTGGAACAGCTCATGTGTTGTACAAGGGTTATGTGTCTATAATCTGCGAGCAGGCTGCTGAAACATGACTAACATCACCCGGCCGAATCATATCGAAAAGCATCTTTAGTCTCAATAACAAAAACAATAATAAAATTAATTCAAATAGATACGAATCAGATTTATTTCAAGAATTATATTAAATGTCTTATTTTGGTTGGCTTTCTTTTGGGCCCTGAATAAAATTATTATACGCTTTTTAATTAAATTGTACTTTTCGTATTATTGCTTTAGTGTTATTGTTTTCTGTGTAGCATGGCTCGTTCTTCGAATTCGCAAATTCTCGTTAGAATCAGCATATTATTATTATTATCATTACTTGTAGTAGTAATAGCAGAAGAAGTAGGAAGAGGAGGGAGAGGATAAGGAGGTGGGGCAGGAGGTAATGTTGATTATTTTGGTTTGTCGCCGTTGTAGTTGTTTTTACATCATTTTTGTTCAAAGTTTCCCGCCGCGTGACAAAATGGCGGCAGTCGGCTCAGTGTAATTACCATCCTATAAAAATTTGACAATTTTGTTGAGAGGTGAAATTTCAAATTAAAACTGACCTCTACCACACAAAAAATAGGTCTGTAGAAAGAAAGAAAGAACGAAAGAAAGAAAGAAAGAAAGAAAGAAAGAAAGAAAGAAAGAAAGAAAGAAAGAAAGAAATGAAAATAGAATTACAAAGAAAGAAAAAAAAGGAATGAAAATGAAATTAGAAAGAAAGAAATGAAAATGGTATTACAAAGAAAGAAAGAAAGACATGAGGAAATGGTACAAGAAAGAAAGAAAGAAAGAAAGAAAGAAAGACTCAAATTACAGAGAAATAAATAAATAAAAATGGAATTACAAAGAAAGACAGAAAGGAATGAAAATGAAATTACAAAGAAAGAAAGAAACAAATAAAGAAAGAAAGAAATGATAATGGAATTACAAAGAAAGAAAGAAAGAAAGAAAGAAAGAAAGAAAGAAAGAAAGA